CGTGTCCAACTTCATGAGCTAACACCTTCCACGATGAAACTCCTGGTTAGTGGCAATTTCTTTGTATATGTCGAGATATGAAGGATGAGCAATAGAAGATTTGTGTACATCATAATGTATATTCATACTACACTGAGACACGTTTGTGGTTGTGAAGACTTTCGATTCAAGTAGTTCTAGAGCATATATCACATACATCTCTCTGTTGTAACATTAACAAAGAATTATCATCTCTCTGTGGTAACATTAACAAAGAATTATCAGTTTAATTTTCAATGATTTACAGTTTGTCTCAGCACTGGCTGTCGTGGTCCGGGCGGGACCCCAAGGCTACAATATAGCCACGCCTTCTGGAGGAGGATTATCTATTGGTGGAGGCCATTCATCAGGAGGAATCTCTGGTGGGAGCGGAATCTCACGTGGTGGATTCACCGGTGGCAATGGAATCTCAGGTGGAGGTTTTGCCGATGGCAACGGAATCTCTGGTGGTGGATTCGCCGGAGGCAGCGGAATCTCTAGCAGCAGCGGCTTTTCTGGTGTAGGATTTTCCAGTGAAAACGGAATCTCTAGTGGAGGACTCTCCGGTGGCAGTAGTGGCCCTGCAGGTGGTTGTGCCGAAGGAGAGATCTTGCATGTGGATGGATCTTGTGTTGTCCCCGTGGTTACAAGAAACGTCTTCTTGTATAACGCTCCTGAACAGTCTCAGCAGCCAAGTGGACCACCACCAAGTCTTCCACCGCCAAAGGTTGATCACAATATCCTCTTCGTACGTCTTCCTGAAGGAGGAGTAGGACCAGAACCTATTATTGTTCCTCCACCAAAGCAGGAGAACATCGTGTATGTCCTGAACAAGAACGATGGAGCAGGCGGCCAGCGAGTAATAGAAGTTACCGCTCCTCCACCTTCTGATCCTGAAATTTACTTTGTTAACTACGAGGAAGGAGAGAACCCAACTCTTCCTATTGGTGTGGATCTTGAGACTGCTCTCAGCGCTGCCGCTAGTGCTGGTGGTCAAGTCATTGGAGGCGTGGGAGGTGTCGGTGGGTTTGGCGATGGAGGATTTGGCGGTAGTGGAACAGGTGGAAATGGAGGACTTGGAGGTACGGCAGGCAGTGGAGGATTTGGAGTAGGAGGCAGTGGAGGATTTGGAGTAGGAGGCAGTGGAGGATTTGGAGCAGGAGGTAATGGAGGTTTTACTGGGAGTGGATTAGGAAATAGTGGAGGATTTGGTGGTGTCAGTGGAGGAAATGGCGGATTTGGTGGCGTTAGTGGAGGAAGTGCAGGCTTTAGTGGAAGTGGAACAGGAAGTACTGGAGGCTTTGTTGGGGGCGTAGGAGGCGCTGGAACTCCGTCCACGCTGTATTCTGGCCCGTAAAGAACTCCAATTTCGAGGTTAAAGGTACAATTTGCCATCGTTTGAGGAGGCTATAAGGAGTTAGTATCCTGTTTTCATATCTTCATCTTTTATTGATACTTTGTTTACACTATCATTTAATATATTCTACAGAAATATCTGTAATCACATACTTGCTTCTCATTGTATCCTTCCTATCCTACGATATACATAAATTATTTTCTATAAAAGTAATAGACTTTTTACCATATTAGCTGTAAATGAAATTGATATGATAGTAAAAGAAAGTTAATACGCAAAATAAAGACTCAAGAGTAAACACATTCCACATCTGGTGATTAATTAGATTACAAGATTGGTTTACGGATGTAGAAGATATCTCCTATATGGGAATATAATTTAAGAATTCATTCCAATGAACACAACGGCAAATAAAGTTATATATAACTGTATTCCTTTCTCTTTAATGATGTTACATTTTCCCTCACAGAAAATGTGTCCTACTTAAGATATAGAACTTTCATAAGCAACAAATGTTCATTCTTTCTCTCGCAATATATATATATATATATATATATATATATATGATATATATCATATATATACATATATGTGTATGTGTGTGTGCGTGTGTGTATACACATATGTATGTGTGTGTACTGTGTGTTTGTGTGTGTTTGCGTAAATATGTATATTGATATCTTTACATATGCATGTATATATACTTATATATGTAAAGATAAATATGTACATATGTATTTATATTCACATATATGTATAAATATACAAAAACATGTGTGTGTATGTATATAAATATTTATGTATATATATGTGTATATATGTATATATACATATACATGCATGCATACACACACACACACACACTATATATATATATATATATATATATATATATATATTTATTTATTTACATTTATACATATATATTTATACATTTATATATATATATATATATATATATGAATGTATATATATATATATATATATATATATATATATATATATATATATATGTATGTAGTGTGTGCGCGCGCGTGGCATGTGGGTGTATGTATTGTATATATATGTATATGTATATATGTATATGTACATGTACATATACATATACACACACACACACACACACATATATATATATATACACACACACCCACACACATGCGCACACAGCGGTAGCGGCAGCGATCTCGTCTAGCAATCTTGCTGACTTCTGTTCGAATCCCTCGCCGCCAGTGGATGGTAACCCCGGCCATTCCTTGCACACAGGGGATAATTTAGAATCAAAATGAAACAAACAGCATGTCAGACCAAGAATATCCATTGTAACAAATGGAATTAAACTAAACTATTATTATTGTTATTATCATTAATTATTATATATATATACATATATATATATATATATATATATATATATATATATGTGTGTGTGTGTGTGTGTGTGTATGTATTTAAGCATAAATATATTTGTGTATGTTTATGTGTATGTAAATATATATATATATATATATATATATATATATATATATATATATATATACATACATATATATATATATATATATATATATATATACATACATATATATATATATATATATATATGTACGTATATATATATATACGTATATATATATATATATATATATATATACATACACACAGACATACACAAATATATATATATTTAAATACACAGACACACATACACACACACACACACACACACACACATATATATATATATATATGTGTGTGTATATGTAAAATTTATATATAAACACACATATATATATCACACACATATATATAATATTTACATATATATATATATATATATATATATATATATATATATATACATATATGTATATATATATATATGTGTATAGTTAATTTATGTATATATAAGAAAAAAAAATGTATATGAATGTATATATGAATATACACATATATGAAAATATATACATATATATACACACATGTATGTGTATATATATACATATACACAGTTAATATTTTATATGTATAAAGCGAGATAGAAAGATTAATAGATATAGACACGCGCGCACACACACACATATATATATATGCATACAGTTAATATATATATATATATATATATACATATATATGCCTATAGATACATAGATATACATATGTATTTAATATATATATATATATATATATATTCATATATAGACATACATACACTCAGGTAGTATATATACAGGTGTATATATATATATATATATACATATATACACATATATGCGTGTGTGTGTATACACGCAGTTAATATATATGTACACATATACATATGTACATACATATACATACATTTATATGATACACAGGCACACACTCACACATGCTCACATATATATGAATACATATATACACAATAAGTGCACACAAACAGACATGCACACACACACACACGTGTGTGTCGCAAACAGAAAACGAAAAGCATCGTATGGTGAGTGGGGTGACTGGTAAGAGGGAAAGAGAAGGGGAGTATATAAGGACGTGTCCAACTTCATGAGCTAACACCTTCCACGATGAAACTCCTGGTTAGTGGCAATTTCTTTGTATATGTCGAGATATGAAGGAGGAGCAATAGAAAATTTTTGTACATCATAATGTATATTCATACTACACTGAGACACGTTTGTGGTTGTGAAGACTTTCGATTTAAGTAGTTCTAGAGTATATATCACATACATCTCTCTGTGGTAACATTAACAAAGAATTATCAGTTTAATTTTCAATGATTTACAGTTTGTCTCAGCACTGGCTGTCGTGGTCCGGGCGGGACCCCAAGGCTACAATATAGCCACGCCTTCTGGAGGAGGATTATCTATTGGTGGAGGCCATTCATCAGGAGGAATCTCTGGTGGGAGCGGAATCTCACGTGGTGGATTCACCGGTGGCAATGGAATCTCAGGTGGAGGTTTTGCCGATGGCAACGGAATCTCTGGTGGTGGATTCGCCGGAGGCAGCGGAATCTCTAGCAGCAGCGGCTTTTCTGGTGTTGGATTTTCCGGTGGCAACGGAATCTCTAGTGGAGGACTCTCCGGTGGCAGCAGTGGCCCTGCAGGTGGTTGTGCCGAAGGAGAGATCTTGCATGTGGATGGATCTTGTGTTGTCCCCGTGGTTACAAGAAACGTCTTCTTGTATAACGCTCCTGAACAGTCTCAGCAGCCAAGTGGACCACCACCAAGTCTTCCACCGCCAAAGGTTGATCACAATATCCTCTTCGTACGTCTTCCTGAAGGAGGAGTAGGACCAGAACCTATTATTGTTCCTCCACCAAAGCAGGAGAACATCGTGTATGTCCTGAACAAGAACGATGGAGCAGGCGGCCAGCGAGTAATAGAAGTTACTGCTCCTCCACCTTCTGATCCTGAAATTTACTTTGTTAACTACGAGGAAGGAGAGAACCCAACTCTTCCTATTGGTGTGGATCTTGAGACTGCTCTCAGCGCTGCCGCTAGCGCTGGTGGTCAAGTCATTGGAGGCGTGGGAGGTGTCGGTGGGTCTGGCGATGGAGGATTTGGCGGTAGTGGAACAGGTGGAAGTGGAGGACTTGGAGGTACAGCAGGCAGTGGAGGATTTGGAGTAG